AGAAAAATTTAATTTTTTCTTTTTTTACTTTATAAGTATATTTTATAATTATTTTATAAGTATTGTAGGATATCCTGCTAAATGGAGCAGGTTAAGAAGAGACCAGAATTGCTTCATTGCAATCGGTCTCATAATATATTAAAGGACTTAATGTTCAGAGACTTTGGATTTTTATATTATAATTGTTGTAAAACTAAAACACGTGGATTAGAATCAATAGCTGAAATGAATCTTGTTGGAAAAAAGCATAAAGAATTGGTAATTATATTATATATAACTTTTATTTTATTTTTATTTCATTTCTCTTATTTTAATTTCTTGTAGGAATATGATCTACCTGGATATCCTAAAGCAACATTTTTAATGGTTTTCAGTCCTGATGGGTAAGAAATTAAATCATAAATAATTTTTATAATAAATTTATTTATATAATTAAATTGTAGCACAAAAATAGCATCAGCACATGGAAATCACAGTGTTTATATTACTGATGTAGCTACTAGAAAAAATATTAAAATTCTTTCTGGTCATCCACGTACTCCATGGTGTATCACATTTCATCCATCCTCTAGTCACATATTAGCTTCTGGTTGTCTTGGTGGTCAAGTTCGAGTTTGGGATTTAAGGGTAAAGTTTTATTAAAAAATAAGAATAAAATTAAAATTATATTAATTAACTATATTATTTAAATTAAATTATAATTATAAGGAAAATAATATTGCAATGTATTATGTAATATATAGTATGTTTATTTTAAGTATATATTTATGATTATATTTGCAAATATTAGAAATACAAAAAAGTGTTTCAAATAAAAATCATATCAAACAATATATATTGTGATGATAAATATTTGATCTTAATCTATGGATTTGGATTGATCCTATGAGGATCATATTAAAATTTTTTAAAGGAATCTTATACTTTTTATTATATATCCTTGTAACCTTATATATTGAGATATTTTCAAAACAATAGTTATATATATATTTTTTTAAATTATTGTTAAATTATTAATTTATAGTTTATAACATAAACTTAGTTAAATTTGTAACTTAAATTTACAAAATTTGCAAAATAACATTTTGAAAATTTTCATATTAGCACATTTCATTAGCACAATTCAAGATCAAACACATATCATTATATGTACATTTTGATATCATAACTTTTTTCTGAAATACTTTTTTATATTTCTGATATTTTCAGAAATAATTGAGTTTATATATTTAAAATGAACATTATTCTATGTATAATATAATGATATTTTAATATAAATTAAACATTTAAATATTTTTTTTATTTTTTAAAAAAGCATCTGTAATTTTAAAAGAATTAAAAAAAAATACTTTTAAGTATATATTTTTAGAAAGATTTACTTTTAAAAAAAATTTCTTTCTAATATTTATCTTTAGATATCATTTGAATTATATTCTAAATATTTATATATTTTGCTTTTATATGTATTATGCTCATAAGAACACAATAATATAACAAAAATATTTCTATATTTTTTCATTTTTTTTTATAAATTTATTTTTATAACTGAATATAAAATATATTTTGTTGAAATAGGATGGTAGTAAAGTTTGGAATGCAGAAAGTCAAACAGTCATAGCTTCTCTTGCTTTCCATCCATTTGAAAAGTTACTTGTTATAGCAACAAATAATGAAATACATTTTTGGGATTGGAGTCGATCTGAACCCTTTGCAGTAATATCTACTAAAACTAACATAGAAAAAGTAAGGTGAGTTTTAGTACATTGTATATTAATTTGAGTTGTGGATTATGAAATAAATTATAAGCTGAAAATTAATAATTATGTAAAAAGTATTATTACGTATTTAATTTATAATCAATAAAAAAAAGAAAATTTATAATTTTTAAAATAGATAGTACTTAAATAGTATTAAAATAATTTAAAATAAATAGTATTAAAAAAAAACAAAATCATCATCATCATTATAACAATAATGGATTATTTTATAATTTTTCCTTTATTTAAATCTATATGGATTGTTTATTTTATATTATATTTTATATGTTATATATGTATATATTTCAGATATGTAGCTTTTGACAATTTAGGAAGGAAATTAATCACAGGAATTGGAAATGATTATATAAGAGAATCAAGATTATTCAGGTATATATGATATAAGTCAAAAATACAAGTTAGCAAATATTTTTTAAGCTATTAATAATCAAATTTTATTATTCTTCATTGAATTATATAGATCCCGTTTAAGGTATGGTAGAATGTATAATAATCAAATATCAAATAACTATTCGGAAACTGCTCAAAATGAAACAGTTCAATCCTTTAGAACCATTGAAGAGCCTTCACATAGTACTCAATCGAGTTTACGTGATGCTGTAACAGTAGATAGTGATGTTATATTACCATATATTTGTAATTGGCAAACAGAAAGAAGACGAGGAGGATTGAATCTTCCACGTGATGATGATGAAAGATCTTTTTCAGGTAAATGTGATACAAAAAATTTAAGATTTCATTTACTACAACTAAAAATAATCTTAGTTCTGATAGTTATCAATTTCAATAAAATTTAGTTATTTAATATTAAGATCAATTTATACTTTAACTGAGATGAGAGATACTTAGATATGCAAATCCGGATAAAGTCAAATATATTAATGTTAGTGAATCACTATTATATATAGAACCAGAACTAGAAAAATCTATTAAACTGTTAATTTTCATGATTTCATTTTAAATGTAGCTTGATGAGTTTCATTTGCTCATTAGATTATCATACACAAGATTTTCTAATAATTTTGTCCAACATTTGTTTGCCATTAGTCACAGGTTTAAATTACATATATTATTCAAATTGCAAATTATATATACATCCAAGTGAAACTGAAATTCAAAAATTAAATATCTAAAAAATAGATCTAATTTTTTAAAATAATTTTAATAAATCAAATTTTTTATTTTATATAAAATGTATACATAATCTGTTATTAAAAATTTTATTGAAACTTTATAAAAATGATTCTGTATCTTCAAAATTAATACTAAAAAAATAAAATGAATTAATATATTATTTAACAAAAAGATGTTTTTTTCATCACCAATATTTATAATTTAATTAATATATATTTTAAATCTATATAATGGATTAAAATGATAGCATTAATCAAATTTAATTAAATTATTAAAATATTAAATTTTTTAGAAGATGTCTCGGCAGTAGTGAGAAATTTTTCAGGAATTTCCGGATATCGTGTACAAGCTTGGGATTTTTCTAAGGGGGAAATACCAGATATCACGAATTGTAAATATCATTATTATTATATTGTAAAAATAAAATATTTCAAATAAAGTACTTTATTCATAAAGTACTTTTTATATTATAGCTGAAAAAAATATTGTTATACACAAGTGTAAAATACGTAATGATGCTAGTATAAATATTTCTTCGGATGGTAAATTATTGGCAACATGCTTTATGAGAGCTGCAGGTGAGAAATTATTTTAAAATATATAATATATAATTTTTTTAGAATAAAAAAATTATTTTTTTATAATATTAACATAATATTCAAATATATTGATTCTTTTATCAATTTTCTACTATAAACATTAATATATTCATAATATATTCATAAAAAATATTTATGAACTTTAAGAATTAATTTTATATAAAAAGAGAGAAAAAAGTAATTTATATTTTTTTAATAATAATTTTTTATAATTATTGCAATTTTTATGAATTTCATTTATTTGTTAATAAATTTTTAAGTTTTTATATAAAAAAATTTTGAAATATTTTTAAATCTATATATATATTTCATCTCTTTGAAAAATTTAATCATTGATAATTAAGCAATACAGTGCTCATTTTTTTTTATCAATAAATTATGATCTCAAAAAAAATTTTTTTCATGCAATGTTATTTTTAGGAGTTTATAGTTTACAATGGGAAACTTTAGGAGAAGAAATTTATTGGACAGAAGTATATAATTCTGTGATTTCTGTTTCAATTTCACCAACACAAGAACATCTTTTAGTAGGTTTAGCAAGAAGTGGTATGAGAAATGATTATACAATGGCAATTATTTATAGACTAACACATAAACAATCCCAGAATGACAAACCATGTATTCAAGATATGGATTTTAATCTAGCAAAATATTTACATTTTATGAACTCCAATAAAAGAAACACTATGTTATTAGTTAGAGATTTATTACAAAATAATCAATCAACTAGAGAACATACAAGTATAAATTGTATCAGATGGGCACCACAACCTGGTCAAGGTTTAGTTTATGCTACCAATACTGGTCGATTAGCTATTCTTCATTAATATATTTGTAATATTATTGTAAAAATAGAAACTTCTGTATTAATATGATTATTTTATTATAAAAAAAATTATATATAAAAACAAAAGTTATTATTGTTACATGTTCTTAATGATATTTTTATTTTATTATTAAATTTTTTTATATATAATTCTTATTCAATTTTTAATATTTTCATTTTTAAATCCTTTCTTTCATTAAAAAAGATTAGGAATGTATTAATTTCAAATATAAATATATTATTAACATATTTAAAAATAATAGTTAAAAATAAAATGAACGAGAAAAATTTAAGTAAATCTATAAGTAAAAAAAAATATTTTTAATTAAAAAATTTATTAATTTTAATAAATATTAAAATGAAAAATTATAAAAATATTAAAATGGAAATTAAATTATTATTAAAAAGAATATTAGATATTAAAAAGATATAAATTATTAATATATATCATACACAAAAGATAGATTATTATTAATTATTATATGAATTATATTATTAAATATTCTATTAACTTAATAATAAAATTAAATTATTAATTTAAAAATTCATAAATATATATATATATATAAAATTATTATACTACAATAAATAAATACACAATTTATATTTACAAATTTTTCTAAATGATATAAAAATCATCATTTATAATAACTTAATAGAATATTATATTTACAATTTAATTTACTATTTATAAACATTATAAAAAAATTTAAATACTATATATTTAATTATTTTTTAAAAAGTTATACAAATATAAAGTTATTATTAATATACATTTAAAATTATTTTCTAAAGATATTATATAATGTTATTAATAAAAATTAAATATACATTATACATTAAAAATTATTATATATTAAAATTATATATAAATATATATAATCATATAATTATCAACAGTATGAATGCACAACTTTATATTCTTGATCTTGAACATAATTTTTATATTTTAAATAAATGATTCTTTATTAACAGTTAAATGCAACTTAGCCATCATCATATAATAAGCTATGCAATAATTCAGGAGTTTCTGGTTGTTTTAAACAAAGTGGTAATTTATCTTGTACATTTGTAGAATATTTATTTTGTCCTAATTGACCAAGATCACGGTCTAAAATCGTTTCTATTTCATCATCAATATATAAAGAATTTTCGTATATTTTCGCATATGAATTATTTTGCTCTGTAGAATTTATAGTCTCATTTATTGTATTTTGCAATTCAATCTCTGACATGTTAACTGTATGAAAATTATTTAATGTTGTGGGTATATCACAATCAACTATTTGATTGTTATATTGAGTCTGTCGCCTTATTTCAGTCACAGAATCATGTATTTGATGATATTTTATCTGATGTACTTTTAAATTACCTGTTTGTGAAAATGTTTTTAAACAAAAAGTACAATGATATGGTTTCTCTCCAGTATGGCATCTTGAATGTCTTTGTAATTTATATTTTGTTACAAATTGTTTTCCACATTCAGAACATATAAATGAATTATTATCTATTTGAAGATTTTGATTATTAATAGACCGTTCCATATCCATATGAAAATTTATCATATGAGATTTCAATGAAACTTTATAACGAAATGATTGATGACAATTAGCACATTGAAATTGTTTTTTTCCTTCATGTCTTTCTTTATGTTTCATTAATATTTCTTGTTGATTAAAGGACATTTTACAAATCTGAAATATTATTAATAAGTGAATTTTTAATTTTGTAATTTTTTAATGAACTATTTATGCTATATAATTTAAAACAAATTAAATAATACTTATTATTTTAAAATAAAATTATCTAATATTAAAAATATATAAAAATACAGAAAATATAAAAAATATTATATTACAGACATTACAAACAAAAGGTCTCTGTCCAGTATGAATGCGTTTATGTCTATTTAAATGTGATTGACATCTGAAACTTTTAGCACATATTGAACATGTACTTTTTTTTATTTGTTTATTTAAGATATTTTTTGATACTGTATCATTTTCTTTTAATTGATGTAACATATCCTGCAAACATAATACTTATTGTAATACCTTGTAATATATTTATTAAAACATAAAATATTTTCTTAAAAAAAATTAAAAAATTATTTTATACTTCTGCAAAATCAATTTCTAAAGATGGAGCTGCAAGTTGCTTTTGTACATTAGCTACCATTAAACAAAATTCATCGAATATATAAATTTTTTGCTCGCAATCAATACAAACATATTTAGAAAATGCATCAGAATTTGAAATATTTATCATCTGCAACAAAAACAATATTAAATAAATTAAAAAATTAAGTTATATAACGTATTTTATAATTTATTTATCTTATATATACCTCTTTGGAGAAATATTTATTTATAAGTGACATCAATACAATCCCTTTAACTTTGTCTATAAACAAATCCGTACCCTGCTGTTTTTCTTTGCCACAAAGACGACATAACTTCATATTTGCTTTATGCATCATCATTATTTTCTTTATCATACATAAAGTGAACTAATTTTTATAAAATTAAGTGAGAAAATTATAATTCCGTCTTAATTTTTTTCTTCTTTCAGGATTATTTACAATTATGAAAATTATTTTGATTTTTTATTTTAAAAAATATTGTTGTTATTGATTTGGAAATTATATATGAATTATTAAACATATTATTAAAATAGTATTTTAATATAATATAATATATATATATATATATATATATGTACATATAGTCTAATTTGAACGTATAACCATGCATATAATAATAAATATATACGAAGACAAAATTTCTGTTTCTATGCAAATAGCAAGTAACAAGTTGGCAACTCTGTTTTTAACAGTAATTCTCAACAAAAATAAATATTTAAATTAATAAACCAATTATAAAGAGAGAGAAAAATTATCGCATTAAAACAATTTTTTTTTTTTTAAAAATAGAGTACAAATATTTTATTATTAAAAATTATTTTGAATTTAAATATTATAAATATTTTATATTAAATTTAACTTCGTTAAATATAATTATCTATTATATTAAATTTAATATAAATTTTATTATTTGAAAAGAAATTATATATTATTTATTTATAATTATATTATTTCAAATAAATATTGGAAGTTTTCAAATGTTTAAAAATTATATATGTATAATATATATGTATAATATCAAAACTTTTCGAAAATATTAAATAATAAAATTATCATTTTTTAAAGACAAAAAAAATTAATTATTTAAACTTATACTTAATTAATATATAAAAATTTTATTTTAAAAATTTCTCAAAATATATAAAAAATATAAAATTATTTTAAAATATGCAATTAAAATAAATTTTTGTGAATTAACAATTTTTTCTTAAATTTAAATGTTTCAAAATTATTAACACATTTATCAAAATTTTAGCTATTTTAGTTATAGAAAAATTATAGCTATATTATATATTTTATTGACTATTTTCTTTATCGTTTCATTTTTAATAAATATTATTAAATATAAAAAAAATATTATTATGTAACTACCTATTAAACAATTTATGTGCAGATTAATAGTAAAAATATAGTAATAGTAATAATAAAAGTTGGCAAAATGTGTATCAAATCATTTCCGCATTAGGTTTGAACCATTTTAACTTTTATAAACAGATCTCATTTTTGTCATCATCAAATCATTTCCGCATTAGGTTTGAACCATTTTAACTTTTATAAACAGATCTCATTTTTGTCTTCAATTTGATAATAGGTTATATAACAAAACTTATTATTAATCTGCTGTAACAGATTTTGTTATATTTCTGCTGTTAATCTATATACTAATAAACTCGAATATAATAGATTCTATTATCTTTATTATATTAATATTTTCTAATGACAAACATTGATAATAGTTTTAATAAAATCTGTTGCTTGAACTGTTACAGATTTCTGTTACCGACGTGAATAAAAAATGATCACATTGTTATAATTAAAAATACATATATAACAATAATAGTGATAAATATATGAAAACAAACTAAACAATTAAAATATGTAAAAAAAAATTATATTTTTTTATTTAAATTTTTAGAATAATTAATTTTAATATCTTTTAAAAGTTTATTTTAATATTTTATTTCTTAATTTTGTAATTTAATATTATTTTTAATAATAAAGTAATTAAAAATATATTAATATTAATTAATAATTACTTATTAATATAACATAAATAATATAATATATATATCTTGATTATAAATTTGTAATGATTATATACAATAGAAACATTAAATAACATTAAATAACATTATAAATATATTTGAAATTCAATTTTTTGTTCTTTTTATTTTTGATAAATCTTAATAATTATAATATCAAATATAAATACAAATACATATATTACCAAGATATTTTAGATACAGTTTATTGTTATAAAATATTAGCTTGTTAGAAGTTGGTACGAAATATGAAGCAAGTTGATATTGTATATATTATGTACATTATGTATAATAGATATGCTAAAATTAAATTTTTTGAATGTTTTTGAATGTATACAAGCATCTTGGGCACTCATCAATATAAGTTATAACTTCTTACTTCGTAAATTACTTCTAATATAAATTGTATCATTTAATTTTATCAAATTACAATTTCTATTTATAAAAAATTTTATTTTGTTAAAGAAAAGAACTTACACTATTATGGTCTTTTTTAGTAAATGCAATATTACTTTCCTAAATATAGTCATTACATTATATTGTTATTATAAGTAATTGTAAAATAAATGAAATTTCATAATATCATTGTACATTATAAATTTAATCAATATACATCTTGCATGCTGTAGATTTAAAAAAATTGAATGAAAATTAAAATTTTGTTGTAAAAATATTAATTAAGCACAGACAGTATTAGGAACATTATAAAATACAAAATAGAAATAAGAGAAAAGTAATTGTAATATATAATAGATATAATAGATTCTTTAATAATTAATGTTTTAAAATTGAATAAAATGATTATTTGTCCTAGATATATTAAAACAACTATATTTATAATAAATGTATATAACTATATATCACAATTCATTTTTTTTTAAACATTACTGTAATAATATACTGAAATATTATTTTGTAAATTAAACAAAAAATCTTGAAACTATTCTCAAAATGGAAGACTTGAAAGTCGACTGTTATACCATTTGCTTTCAAGTACAATATGTTGTACTATAAATATTAATATTTTATTGACTATTGCATTTGATATGTCATACAAAGCAATATATTAAAATAAAAGCAGAATATAAACTTATTTTGCATTAAAAACTTATTTGATAAATTAATATTTATTATATTATGATAATTTTAAAAATAATTTTCAAAAAAACATAAATTATTTAAAATAATATTCATATAGTAGTCAACAAGGTGTCAATAAAATTATTTTATTTATAATACCACTGTATGAGAAATACATATTTTTAATTTTTAATTGTTGATCAAGTATAGCAGTTTATCATAGGACGCAAGATTGTCTTTACAATGTGATTCTATTTATAAAAATAGTTTATACTAAAAATATGTTATGCATAATAGTTATAATAGTTATGCATAAAAAATTGTAAATCTTAATTTTTTAATTAAAAAATTAATATACTAAAACAAAGAAAACTTATGTTGCTTATATTTTTTGATTACTTTCAAGCAAGTATTTATTTGGCATTTCTTAATGCATTTATTTATACATCATCTTCACTTTTCTATTCACTTTTTATTTTATCTTGTATGATATATAAAATCAATCCATTTGTTATCCATTATTTAGTAAAAAATATATTTTTTTTATTTTTTGTTGATAAATAAAAAGATCTTGTTTTAGGCAAAACTGCAGATATGTAAATATTATCATTATTTCAATATACTATGAATGCCATTCATAATTATGTATGTTATTACATTTTAATATTATACACTATTATTTTTTAAGATTCTACAATATAAATTTGTATAAATTTTTTAATAATAAAATACAAAAATAAAAATAAATTGCAAGTATTTCGTGATATATTAGAGATTCAATAAAAATTTAATTTAATTTTTATAAACATAAATTTTATCTTATTTCTATTTTTAATAATTTTATTAATTTTCTAAGAATAAAATACTATGAAACTATTGAATAAATTAAATAACTCATTTAAAAATAGGTATTGATTTAATTACAATTTTTTTTACAAAATGGATAATTTAAAAGTATTTTTTACACAAGAGAATTGCACAACAATAAACATTTTTTTTCAGTAATATTATGTAAAAAATTATTTCATATTAATTTGAAACTTATTGCAACATTTATATTTAATTACTGATGCAATAAAGATTTTATATATTTGACAAATATTTATATGAATTGAAATATTAATCATTTTAATTTTAATTAGGAATTAATTAAAAGAGTTTTTTCTAATCAGTCAAATGTAATATTATGATCATTTAGAATAATCAAAATTTATTAGAAATGCAAGTAATATTTCACTTACATAATTTATTAACAGAATGATTTTATTAAAAATTTTATTAAAATTCTGCAATTATTATAAATTATAGATAAATTGATAATTAATATTTTTATATGATAATATTCAATTATTACTTGCATATTTAATGGTCAAAGTTTTATAAACATTAATTTATATAAATGCTAATTTTAATATCAATTTATCTAAACTGAAAAGAGGTACTTGCAATTAAAGTTTCATTTATAGATAACATTATTGTTTTGATTTTCATTGCTCTAACTATATCTTTTTTTGTAACTATATTAAACATGAAATAAAAATCTTTAACAAAATATATTCTTGTTATATTATTAATTTATTATCAATTTAAAAATTACAGTTAGAATTTATTTATGAAACTGATATAATAAAACAAATATATATATAAATAAAATTTATATTTTTCATATTTTTTTTAATATAAATATAAATTTTTCTTATTAAAATTGAAAAATACAAAGTTATCAATAAATTATTAATAATTTTCAGTACACTTTCATTATTTATTAAATTTCATTTTTATAAAATTTTATAAAAAGAAAAGCAAAGATTAATGACATTGATAAAACTAATATTAAATTAGTTTAAGTAATAATATTATATAATTTCGTTTCGTAATAAGTTTTGTAATTATAATAATTAAGAATAAAATTAAAAAATAATAAAAAGTTTATAAAGAAAATTCTAATCATACAAGATGTATATGTATTATTATATTTATATTATTTATATGTAATGAATTTTATTTTTTAATTGATATTGATGATTTGAATAATAAATATTATACAATTTAAATTCAAAAAATTTTTTAAAATATATATCTATGATATATTTTAATGCTATAAAATATATATCAATTATTATTCTTTATATTAAGTCAATTATTATATATATGAATACAAATTTGAATAAAAAGAAAAAGATACTTTATATATATCATGTTATTTCATTAATGAAACTTTGATTTACAAGTTCCTCAAAATATTTTTATTGATTTTATAATAAATTTTATTAAAATGTATAATATTTATGCAGAGAAAATGTAAAAAAATTAAATTTAAATTAATATGAAAATTTTTTATATTATTATTAATGAATTTGTTATGAAGTTGTTTATAAAATCATTCAATTAATATTTTTGAATAAAAATAATTGATTTATATCACAATTTGTTTCTTTTAATCAAATTAACAATAAAGAGTAAAAAATTTATTATTACCCTTAATTATGTAACATTTTATTTTAATATATTAAAAGGTCCCTGATTAAAAAATTAATTTTTGTAGCAACTGTATAATAAATAATTTTTGATATATTATTTAAATAAAACGAAAATTTAATATCAAAAGTTTGTTTATAAAAAAAATGTTAACAATTTAATTATTATAATATTTTATTATTTTATATTCTAACACTATTAAAAAAATGTAATTATACAAATCAATGAAACAAAAATAATTGAAAAAATTTAACATTTGTTAAATAATGTTTATAAAACTTGTATTGCATTAAAATATTTAAGTAAAAAAACATACAAATTATTGTGAATAATAGAAATGATATGCTTATAAAAAATTTGAAATTAATACTTATGTGAAGTAGGTTTGCACCACGTACCTTGATTGAAAAAGTATAGATATAAGTAATATAATTACTTATATCTAAAATTTAGGATAGAATGGCAATACTACGTCTAGGTCCGCCTAAGCATATGTTATCTAAACTTGACCATCTTTTAATACCAGTACGTAAAGCTTCAGCAGTAACTTTATCTTCATAAACTCTGGACATAGCTTCCAATTTCTGAGCTTTCTCTTTACTAAGTGGTTCACTAGGGAATGTTAATTCATTTGCTTCTGCAAGTGTGCGAAGGTCAAAATAATATTTAGCATATACACTTGAAGGAACGTTTATATTGAATTGTAGCATTTCCAAAAACTGTCTTTCTAATTCATTCCTAAATTAATGTAAATATTTATTAAAGGATATTTTTAGATATATTTAATATTAATATTAATATTTAATTATATTAAATGTAAATGTGAACTTACATATCTTCTACTGTAATATCTTTAAGAATTTGGCAATAATCTACATTCCATACAGCTTGATCATCCCACACCTTTGATGCTAATAAAATTGCTCCAAGTACTATCCGTTTCCAATTTGCTGGTGTTATATCTATTTCTGCATAAGTAAGCAGGCGTTCTAAATAAACTAATGTTATAATGGCACATTCAGCAGTAAGTTGAGCAGCATTAAATAATGTTCTGACAAATTTATAAATTTGTTTATGTTCTGGATTCTGTTTATCATAATCCTCTGTAACACCTTCTCTCTATGAAAAATAATCAAGCTCTTTTTTATCCAAAAAAAATTAAATAAATATTAGTTTTATAATTTTAATTATTTTATTTATTATAGTTTTATATTATACAAATTTATTATAGTTCTACATTATATACAAATGTAAAAAGTATTATCTTTTATTATTAAGTATTATCATTAAGTATTATACTTTTCTATTATAACTTCTAATTTTTTATATATAATATAGTCAAATATTGTTTATGAAATATAATAAATATGGTTTATATAATTAAATTACCGTTAAAGGATGAAGTTTTTCATCAAATATATCTATTTGACGCTGTGAGGTTCTATTTTTAATATGATAATAAACTGCTAAGGCAACACATTTCACAGTATTCTTCAGATTTGGTTGTGAAACAGTACTATCATCTAAATATATTGTACTGCAGCTGCTACTTTTTTTTAAAGGCCTTATATCTGCAATTTGATGTTGACTTTTTTTTCTTACCATACCATCTAAAACATATTTATTTTGTAAAAATGTTAATAAAAGACAATAACATTATAAGTTTTAAATATATTAAATTATTTATAACTTACTATAACTACTATAATTATATAAATTATAGTATAAATTATATATAT